TTGAAGTCCTCTTCTCATCATGTTCTCACACATACTCCTTTGAAAATAATAACTTCTAATGCTTGTAATAACAATATTATAATCGAAATAATAAAGTTACTACTATTTTGGCAATGTAACCCCCATGGGTATCTTTAGGGTTTGTATTCACGGATACCATGAATACCATTAAGGGGGTTACACACTATTAAATCAGCAAAAAATCCCTTAAAAATGCTTGATTTTGATAGTATGTGACCCTGTGTGACCTCCTTATGGTATCCGTGAATACAAACCCTAGGTATCTTCTTACTTATTGAAAACACTAATTGTTTTATAAACCAAAACTCTTCACTATCTTCTATTAATTATTATTGATCCAATGAGAGACGCTCCGAGGAATAACTATCTTGAACACTAGTGGATATTCTTTGAGAGAATAATATATAGATGCCAGTTTTAAAGGAAGTTGAAAGACTACTTTGAGGAATTTATAAGTATACTTGAGTATTTTAATTGGACAGTGTTGATGAATATTATATTTTGGTTGGTTCAAGTCCAACAAGGCTAGTGTTAGTGACTTTGTTTAAAGAAAAACAAAGTGTATTGGTAACAATCCCACCAGAAGTTGTGGTATACCAGATTTTGTATTATTATTTTAACTATTTTTAGATATCCGTGATACACCCTGAACTTCACAGTTCACAATACAATAAATTAATATACAGTTCGCTCTCTATAATGAATACTAAGTAAAATCTCTCTATAATCTTAGTAAACACTCTCTATAATGAAAAATCACATATAGGGATGGAAGAATCCTGAAATTTTGAAAATGTAAGGTGCAATTTTCTCACCTTGTTCTTTCTTCAAAATACTTCTAATGGTGTAAATGAGTTTCATATTAACTATTTTTGTCTAGACAAATACACAGGTAATACAATTGTGATGTCAAACAAACACTATTGATCCCTGAAATCCTTGGTAATACCAATGTTCACTTTGTCTGGTTTTGTTGCAGCATGTCCCATGTAAGATTCTCACATATACACACACAATACTAATACTAAACCTGAAATACTCAATTTGCATTTTAAAATCTGAAAATTCAGGAGTTTTTTATATAATAAGCTAGAACCATTATTAAAGCTATAACATTAATCATATTGAAGGAAGATCTCTAAATAGCATTACATTTTCACTTCAAAACAGAGATTATTTTTCAATTTTACTTTAAATGAGTGAGTTCTCTGATGAAGAAAGCCTTTGAAACAGATTGATATTGATACACTTGTGGTTTCTTCAAGTCAAATTCTAGGCAAATACAACAGGATAAACATGGAAGAACCGAATTGAAAATTAAAATTTATTTCTTGATGTTAGCCATCTGAATCAGAGGCAATTTAACTGAGACTATTTCTCCTTTGTGCAGATAATGTGATTTAACATCTTGACCAGAAAGAGATTTATGCTCATCCTTATCTGGATGTCAGAATAAGATCTCCTTTGAGAAGTGCAAAGTAACCTGTGACATAACCTTTTACTTTTTTGAGATTATCTACACTTTTGGCACTGTATAAAGATCATGGAGCATAGAAACATTGGATGGTCTTGTTGGTGCTCCAAAGAGCATTTACTGTAGGTGTAGTATTCTAATTCAGCAAACATGGATCTAATATGTGTTTTTTCAATAAACAATTAAGTTGTATTGTTAAAGATTAAAATTATATATGATAAAGTTCAAGATATAATTAGGTAAATGTAGTAATAAAAGGTTCTAAAAATGACAAACCTCAAATTTTTTCTGGACCTCAACGAGGAGTTTCCGGGGTCCTATTATAACAATGATTATTATGATTACTGTTACAACTAGTCATTTGATCAGATGAGTTTCTCCTTCAATTTAATAATTATCTCGTTTATAGTTGCAAGTTTGTTTGATGAAGAACAATATATCATTTCTGTTGTTTTATGAAGATCATCTACATAACCAACAGATTTTAGTTAGATGATGATGATGATAGTTAATACTATATTAAAAATAAAATATATATAATGATACTTCTTTCTCAAATTAATGTTAATATATAAAAAACCATTTTTTTTCTCTTTTAAAGTAACAAGTCAAAGTTTTAAATCAAGTATCAGACAAATATGTAATTGACCAATTAGCAATAATATTTCTAATAAACCTACCCATTAGAGTGTCACCTAACAATATTGTCTGTTTTCTCTATTTCCTTTCGTGTCGTGCGGCTTTCTTCTGTTTACGCAAGCGCTTTTTTCCAGTCATCTTTAAACCTTCTTTTTTAGAGATTCGACAGAAATAGTGAACATTTAGAAAAAACATTACATTCATTCTAGTCTCCTTTCCCGAAAAAAAGTTAACCTGACCTCCGTGACCTGTGGGATGAGGCTGTGAAAAATTTTTTTTTTTCAAGAACCAGTTGAAGCCTCTCTCCTATTTTCAACATTCTTCGTCCCTGGAAAGTAACTACGAAAGGCATCATTCATCTAATGATGGACAAATTACAGATCAATGGGTTATAATATACCTAATGTAAGATTCTCGAAATTTATATAAAATTTTAATTTTTTAACATAATTCTAATATTTTAACTCCATACGACAAGTTACTACGCAGAGTAATCTTGGGTATATAATGCTGATTACGGGAAAGGAAATGAGGAAATGTGATTTTGGTAATTTTATTTGTATTTTAATTACATGATTTCTATATTAATCACAATTTCATTCATCATCGTCTTATTCTTATTATTATTGTAATGATTAATTATTTAAATGTTAGAGGAGAACTTTTGTTCCCTGGAAAAGGTTTAATTTGTATTTTTAAAGTTTTTTTTGGGAAGCTATCTTATTTCATCATTTATGCCATCACTACATTTATCGTTTGGATTTTTTAATCAATGTAACGAGAAGGCTCTTGCGTAGGCGTGGAAAGGGTAACTCTACACTTGAGCTCAATGTTAATATTACTCATTTTATTTTTAGGAAATATTTTTTAAGGAACTCTATTGCATCCAATTGTCATCGAAATCTAACAATAGTGGTAAAAAAAACATCGATATGGAAGAGGAAATAATTATATTCTCTCTTGCCTCAGATGTTTAAGACGACACACACTCTCTCTTTCACTGCTGAGATTATATCAAAGAGTATAATGCCGACTTGGATCTTTTTATTGATGGCCATGGACGTAATTTGGAAAATCTTCCCTAGAAAAGTCTATATATGCTTTCCCAGATTTTGCCTGCAATAGATATCGACAAGGCTAAAATATTTCTCATCTAGAAACTAGCGTCAGTGATTTCAAAGATAGAGATTTTGGAAAGGCAGCAGCAGAATATAAGAGTCATATCTCAAAACATACACATGTGAAGGAGAAGAAGCAATTGATGATGGTAAATATATTTGATTAAAAAATACTTCCCCAATTATGCAATAGTAAGATTTTGACGACATCATTCTTTTCTTCCTACTTTTTATTAGATAATCATTCACCTTTATACTGCATTCTTTTCCTTGTGTTTATTATTTTTCTTCCTTCTTGTCAGTAAACTTCGTAGGTGCTTTTCCCCTCTTTCCTTGATAATATTTAAATGCTTGAGTATCGGTTAAATGCACAAGGAGCTATCTTCTCACTTTGTTTTAATTGTATTTTTATAATTTTTAGTCACATGTAGATCAGTTTCATATTTATATTTTTATGTAGGATAATCCTATACATCATTAGAAAGCAGGAAAAGGATTTTTGTAAGTATATTTCTTTATAAATACTTATCTACCAATATATACGAAAAAAAATAAAACACATCAACTTCATTGTTTTATCAAAGAGGGGGCTAAAAGAAAAGGTGTAAATTGAGAATTGTCAGTGCTTTGGAATGAATTAATTAGGGAAACAGGTGGTACAAGAGCCTCAAAAAATTTCAGAGAAACAGCAACGATTGATTATAATGTTGGTACTTGGGCAAAGAATACTACTAGCAACTGAAAGACTTTGAAAAAAAAATCCTGAACAGAAGATAAGAAAACCTTGATGATGGCGGTAGGTTTGAAGTTTACTTTCTTTTGGGAAAAATGAGTGACCACTGCAAGAAGACATCACAGAATTGCAAATGCATCTTGTGCCTTTAGAAAAGAAAAACTTACCTACAAAAAATAGGGCGAATACTAAGAGAGAATATATAAGAATAGCCAATAGGTTAAAAGATCCTGACAAGTGTACCCAAAAGAAAAGACACCATTACTAGGGAAAGAGAAAACAACCCAGTGCTCACTCTTACAAGACACCTACCGTTATTCTATTATGTTGTGGAACTTTACAATTTTAACCACATGTCCATCAAAAGTTAATGCCATAGTAAACTATGTTTCTTTTAGAGGAGTAGTCAAAATCCTATAAATCCATCGAGATAAAGCCGTGTAACAGGTAAAATTTCGAAGTTCACATAATATAAAAAAGTAAAGTGGCATTGTTAAATATCATCATTAAAATATATTTTTAATTTTTATGATAACTGAAAGATCTTGTGTATATATATATCCTTTAAGACCCATCCTATTGTCGCGTTAAACACCTTGTACAACCAAAATTATTTTGTGGCGTTATGTGTTATCTATCAATTATATTATTTTTACTCCAATTTTATTTATTTATTTATATAATTGTATTTATATAAATTTTATAATAGTAATAACAATAATACATATTATATAAAAAAGTTTTTTAATTTGTTGATGGTATGATTTAAAAAATATATATATTAAAAAACAAGGAAATTCAAAAAATATGTGAATGTGTATGAAGGAAGCTATATAAAAAATCATGAAAAAATATATATATAAAATATAATATAAATTAATTTAATGATAATGTAAATGTAGTAGTAGTAATAATAATAATAATTAATAAATAAATTGTTGATGAAAAATAATGATGATTATGATGATAGTAATAAATATGAAACCCCATTTATATTATTATAATAAAAATTGAATTATGTGACAATTTTTCCTCCTAAATGAATAAATAACAGTTTTCTCCACAGTTTTTTTTTTCATAAAAAACTATAATAAAACTAATTAATGTCGGATATGATAAATATTAAATATTAAATATTAAGGATTTAATTAAATTTAAAAAAATCAAATTTAATAATAACCTAATATTTATAATATGTCTTTATTTATCTCTCTCTCTCTCGTGATCAATTGTTTTCCTTTTCATTTTGCTTTTCTTGTTGATCTTCATGATCACTCACTACTTGAGATCCATTTTGAATTACACCATCATCGTCGTCTATACTTTCTGTGAGGAATATAGGTATTTCTTCATTTACAAAAGCCTCAGCTGCATCGTCTAAAACAGGTGGGATAGCAAGATCAATAGCTTCATGAACACTGAGATGCTTATGATTTTCAATATCACGTTCAAAAATCATGGAATTTCTTGACGGGGTTGGACTTGGAGGAGTATGTATTCCTTCCGTATAATCATAAGATGGTCTAGGACTAGTAGGTGAACGACTCCTTGAAGAACGTTCACTTTTTGTAGAATCTCTTCGTGCAAAAGTTGCAAATAATGAAGGTCTTCCACCTGATTTAAGACTCTTCAAACTAGGAGTAGGACTTGCTGGAGGTGCACCTGAATTTGATTCATCTTCTAAATTATAATTTTTAATGGTTATAATAGTGGTAGGAATGGTAGTGGTATATTAGTAAAATATTATTGATTGCATGATTATTACGAAAATTATAAAAATTGAACTTTATATCATATATATAAATATATATACAATATATCTTCCATACTCTATGTTATAATACATAGTAGTAATAATAATAAAGAGACAAAAAAAAATAATTTTCAGCATCTAACATTTATTCCAAGATGCCAATTGTGAACTAATAATATTACCTGGAGCACTATCAGAAGTATACAATTGAGGATGTTTTTTATTACTTTTCCTACTAATGTTCCATGTCATTATTTTTTTAAAGGGTTTCTGTGGAGATTGCTGTGATGTAAGAGATTTAGTCGTACTCATTTTTAAAATATAAATTTAACAATTTTAATAATTTAAATAAATCTTGGTAATAATAATAATAATTAAAATTTAATAAAAAAAATTTTTTTTAAAAAAAAGAATTTATATTATTTATTTATATGTATATATATAGTTTATTGTTCGGTATCAGCAGAGAAGCACAGAAATTATATTGATATTAATATTATTCTTTATAAAACATTAATCATCACGTCTCTTCTACTCGTCACTATATAATATTATACGAGTGGCAACTGAAGACAATCGTTTAATTGAAAAATTTTTTTTTTAATATATTCAAAAAGAAGATTCGCCTCTCGCCCTTTCATTTTTACATTCACCGCAAATAATTGCTATTACTATTTGAATGTATATAATATATGATGATGAGGTGTTTGTATACATACATAATATAGGAAAATTTTTGTATTTATATTTATTTATATCGAATGCAAATCTTTGTCAAATTAACATTCAATGAATGTAGATTATTGTGTGTACCACCAATTTTCTTTCTTTCGCTTTACAACAGCATATAATATTTATTTCCTTTCATTGTTGTTGTTTGTTGTTGATAACTTGATTTCCACAATATGGGCAAAATTTGATTCGTCCAGAAATATTGATCTAAAGAAAGGAGAGAGAATATTTATTTTGTAAGTTCGATTTCATATCTAACATTATTGTTATGCCACAATTAATAACATTAATGATTACCTCCATTTTGCATGAAGGACATGTTGTTAATCCCTATATCATTTTAAAACATTATTAAAATCATTCAAAGAAAATAAATTATCATTGACATTAGTTAGTTCCTTTCCAAAAAAAAAATTTTTACCCAAGTAGGTAAAGGAGGTCTTTGCTGCATCATTAAATCACGCTCTTCTAATTTTCTAATTTCTTGTTCATCAGGTTTTTCATCTCCTGCCCAGTTACACTTTTCACATTTCCATATTTCTTTTTTAGAAAACCACCATATTGGTATGAAAAATGCTTCCAGTCTATGTTGAAAATCATAACTGTATACCGTTGGATTTGGATCTAAACAACTTGGACATCGAACAGGCGCAACAATTCTACGAGTAAGTTGTGGTCTAAAGGTAACTTTTTGTTTTTATTTTTTTAGTAAAAAGTTAATATTTACACAATATATATAAATAAATAATAGTAATATTTTATTTACCAAGAAAAAAAAACATTTTTTGTTTAATTGAAGTTTATTTTTTAAACGTGATATGATTAATCAATCGCGCGTTATTATATTGGTCGATTGATTTATCATTTAATTAATATAAAAAAAAAAAAGGATGAAAGAAAATCTAATTCTATTTATATGTATAAAAGTTTATAATACCCAATCAAAAACACATTGTGTATGACAAATGATGACATCATATTTAATTCAAGCGAGAATTTTCCTTTTTCGTCACTTTCGCTCATTATTATTTATGCGAACGTTTAAACGTAACATTATCTTAAACTTCACCACATATTTATTTTACTTATCCAATTAAATGGTTTCATTTTTGATGCAATTGATAAATTATATAACCAACAGAAATTATTATAAAAAACCTAAACATTAAATTTTATTAAAATATTATATAACTGATAAAATCATTTTGACAAAAGGTATTAAAACAGGATTTCCTTTTCAATATCTTATATAATCTTGCCGAAGAATTTTATTAATAAAGATTATTCCTTATCAATACGATTTTTAAAGAAATGATGTAAAGCAAATAGGAATCCAAAGAAACACAAAGAAATAGATAGGATTGCATAAAAAAATTTTTTGTACCCAATTGACCATTAATAAAAAGCAAAATATGAAGGATGTCTCAAATAACTATGATAAGATTTTAAAGATATAAGAATATAAATTTATTACAAGGAATAAGAATATATAATCATACACATAAACCAATACATAGTGATAATAATAGAAAAACAGGGAAGTTGGGCATGTTCTCCTTCTAATGATAGAATAATAGATCCGGTTAAACGGTCAACGGTGCTAATCTCTAAAAAATATAAATTTTATAAAAATGGATATTTGCATTCTAGGATATGCAACTTCTGATCATTTGTTTTTGATTTGGTTTATTTGTGCCGTTTGTTGTTTAATATTGAAGCATTTCTTTTAATTTTCTAATATAAATAAAAATAGAATTGACACCTGTAAAATTAAAAAAGGAAATTTTGGGTTGTACGTGCTTTTATTTTTCTCAAATTAATTTAATTACAATATAATTATTATGTGATTTATCTAATAAATATATATATAGTAATGAAATTTTTTCTGAATTCAAAAAATTGTTATATTATTTACATTTTCTTTCCCTTTTTATATAATAATAACTTTTAAACATGTCAGCAATCACTTACTCTACGAAAATGTCTCAACAACCAAATGTATTGCCATTATACTTTGATGTTATATTATCAGCTAGTTGGATCAAGAAGGCAAATGTATCTATAGAACGGAAAAGTTTTTATTCATCACATCACGTTGATTTTTAGATAAAATTATTATTCTAAAATAGTAATAGAATTATCCTCAATGTTTAGCTTGTTTGGGTGACCAATGGATGTTAAGCACCGGATATTAGTTATTAAAAAGGTCTGCTGTCGCTAATAAAGCTCAATAATGATCTTTGTTTGTCTCTAAAAAGAAGCAACTTTTTATATGGAGGTAGGACTGTGTTAATTAATATCCTTTATTTGGCAATCCAGTATTGTAACACTTTGTGTATGAGAAAACAATTTATACTTTAATTAAATAAACATCTCGAAAATAATCAATTGAATTATTTACATACAAATAAATATCTAACAAAAATCGCTTCCACTCGTCAATTGTATACAAATGTTGTTTTAATTTTTCGTGTTATATTTAAGGAGAGCACTGATCTCTATATGCGAAGGATCTATTATTTTAAGAAAAATCAATTAGGAAGCTTCCCGTTTCCAAAATTAGAAATAATATATAATCGTTAAACACTACATTTATTTCTCCTTTCTTACGATGAAAAAAAAAAGTTCTTTAAGATTATATGCAAACAAAAAATTTTTTATTCTCTAATCAAGATAAATAAATAAGCTGATTGCCAGATAAAAATAAATCATAATGTCTGAAAAATCCAAAGTGATGAGAAAACAATTATTGTAAATGAAAATAATCTATCTCCTTGGACATTTGTTTATCACATTGTGACTTTGATTTCATTGGCTAAATTTTACAATGATCACCCTCCAAACAATCCAAATTTTATTGGCTTGAAGATCTTTTACAAAAACACAATTTATAATTTATATATATATATACAACTTTAAATAATAATAATTTTATTTTTCAAATTGTCAAATATTAAGATTGTTTTAGGATGGTCAACATCCAATGTAGTTAATTGAATATGGATATAAAATGTATGCATAAAATCATAATAAAT